TGTCACCAAAGAGAATATTCTAGTACACGTTTTCGAAATTGTAGTTTGGCTCTTGTTTTTTTTGGGAATTTCATTTTGGCCTCTAAATTGTGTAAATTTGCAATTTAGCTCCTATGTTTTGGGAATATTTAGTAAGGTCCTCGAAACAGCATTGAAGCTTCGTTCAAAATCTAAATGAACTATTCCGGACGCAACTGTGAGGTTAGAATTCTCAAATTCTCAATGGTTTTTTTAGGATAACATAAATAAATCAGTGGAGATTGACATTCTCATGGCTCGAAAAAATATAGGTTTCAATATTGAACCCTTTCAATAGCAGCAATGACTTCACCCTAGGGTAGCGAGGGGTGAAGAACATTCTTACATGGGAGGGTGTGGTAAAAGCTCTTAAAGGAAGTTTGAAAAGCTAACAAAGATAAAGGATGACAAGTGGTAAGAGATGAGGTAATTGACTAACAGCACGATCGAGTTATTAATAACACTCTTCGAGAAGTCATCAATAAGACAAATCCGACAGAGCTTTGGCCAAAATTGGAAAGCTAGTATAAGTTTAAGTAATTTACAAATCGGTTATCTTTGAAGAAGCAATTGTACGCACTTTATATGACTGAAGGAACGAACATCATGAGCCATTTGGATGAGTTTAATAGGCTCATAATTGAGTTGGATGCCATCGGGGCGAAGATTGAGGAGAATAAGGCAATCCTCTTGTTGGTCTCCTTGCCTTCTTACGAATATCTCCGGACTACGTTGATGCACATAATGGACAGTTTCAGGTTAGATGAGTTGATTGCTACGTTCATATCGCATCAATCAATGCAGACAAAGAAGAGTGGCAAATTCTCACCTAAGAATGTCATGGTTGCATCATAAGGTAGTCATGTCAAAGGAAGAACATTAGGAAGATAGAGTGGATCCCAATAGAGGAGTCATTCATAGTCAAGATCTGACTATAGAAGGAAGTGCTATTATTGTGATCAAGAGGATCACATCATTAAGGATTGCCCGAAACACAAAGTAAACAAGGCAAAGGCAAGTCCATCAGAGGTAGAAGTTGCAGTAGACACTTCTAATGATGAGGTTGAAGCTTTCATAGTCTCTTCAGGTAGGGAGAAATCGGTTTGGATATTAGAGTTAGGTTGTTTTTTTCACACATGCAACATGAGGTATTTTTCCACATATCATGTTGGCGGAATTACTGTCAGGATAGCTAACAACATAGTGAATAATGTTCTGGCATGACGACATTGTGGTTTTGTATAAAGGATGGAAGGGTGCTCTAATTAACAGTGTCTAACATGTGCCAGGTTTGAGAAAGAATCTAATTTCCTTACGAATGCTACATTTGAGAGGGTGCAGGTTCTCATCTAGTAATGGAGTTCTCCAGGTTTTTAAAGGAGACAAGGTGATGTTGCATGGAAAGATGACTGGTGACTTGTGTGGACTTGTGGAGGATGTTTTGATGGAGGGAGCTATTGTCAACCGTTTGTCAAGAAGTATGAGTGGAAAGAATATGCAGGTAACGCATATGGTTAAGCACATACAAGCACAGGTTGGTGGTTCAAATGTGCAAGGGCAATTCCTAACTGTTCAGAAGGAAGTTCCGAGCAAAGAGGCCGACATGGCTAAGCACGCGCTAGGAAAGAAGATTTGATGACTTAATCTCTCCAAATGTACACAAAAGGGAGGAGTGAAGGAGCCCCGACAATTTGCAAAAGTGAGCTTTGCAAGGCATCCGTTCAGGGGGTGCAAATGTGGATCACCCTACAATGGTGGAGAGGGTGATTGGCTCAATGTATCTCAGTTGTTTGCTTGGTTCGTTTGGCATTTGATTGTATTTTCTTCAAAACACTTGTTTGGTTGGTTAGTTGGGTATCTCGCCAAGGTGGAGTTTTGTTCAAATTTGCGTGACTTGATTCAATGGTTGTTTTGGTGTAGTAGATGGAGAATCCTCACCAAAGGTGGATATTTGTTGATTGTTGGCTCAGCTTCTCCATCTGAATGGTAGCATGGAAGTCAAGATTGGCTACAAATGAAGAAGATGAAAGTGAGCTACAGATTTTGTAAATCTGTTTAAGACGAGTTAGATTGTCATAGGGTGGCTGCTGTAAATGTTGGTATCTCCTGTCCGTGGCCGAACTTGATTTGGCTCTTCCATTTCTTGTAGAAATAGGGAGTATATGTGATGGGTTTTGAGAGCAACTGAGGTGTAGCAGAAGCAAAAGGTGTGAGTGATTAGAGAATGATGTGAGTTGAGTAAGCTAAGTGAGCTCCTCTTGTGTGTAATCTCTGTATTGAGTTTATTCTTAGTGAATTTTTTCTTTTTCTACCCATGGATGTAGGTGCATTGCTGAACCATATAAATCTCATTGCCTTTGATTGTCTGTTAAGTGTTTGTTTCTAGGCCCTGGGCAAAAAACTCACATTTTAGGTAATTTTTGGAGCAAAAATTCATGACAGATGGCATTTTCCCCCAATTATTGCTGCAGGAAAGGCCCAAGTATAATGCATTCTAGAATATCATCATTTATCAGAGTGTCTCCAATGGGATAGCTAAAATTGTCTGTTAATTGACAAAAGTGGTAAAAGTGGACTGAATTTTATGTGTTAAATGTTTGTTAATTAGGGAGTGAACGAGTGTTCAGTGGATTTACAAAATTAAAAAAGAAAAAATGTGTTAGTTTTTTTATTTTTGAACAAGCATCAACAGAATTTTATTAATAACAAAAGGTGAAAACGAGAGGACAAGACTAAAAGATCAAAGCAGTAATCCAAACCAAACAGTAAAAATGAGAAAAACGAAAAAGAAATCAATCCATGCATATGCACAAAAAATGTACAAAGCGCACCTAAGGCGCATGTCTCAAACTGTGATGCGCAAGCCTTTGGGGAGTAATTTCTAAAAATCAAAACCTTGATGCGTTTTTACCTTAGTCTCAAGGCGAGGCAAGCATTGAGGTAAGCCTCAGGAAAGAGTTTTAAAACTGGGGTTTACTATAGTAATGATTTATCCTGAGAGATCAGTCTTGTAAAGATAACCTCTAGGTGCAAGTGAAATACAATTTTATGTTAGCATATGCCTCTATTTGTAAGACCTTTTTGTTCCTTATTGTAAATAACCTATGCTAGTTCAATTTTGTCATTTTCATAATACTGCTGTCGATACTGTGCATGATTTTATAAGATCTGATCTCAGTTTGTTGTTCTGTTGGTCTCTGAAGCATTATATATATATATATATATTTTGATAAGCTCTGATGCATTATATTCATTACCTGAAAGTTTATCTACTAGTTTTTGCCTAACCTTAAAGATAAGATTCTGGATTCTCCTGGTTATCAATGTTAACCCTACAAACTTCAAAATATTTGAAAGAGGAAATTTTATTTTGCTCCCCAAACTATCACTCAAAAAATCAATACAACTCCTATCCTTTCAATTGTATCAATTTGACACGTAAACTTCAATTTCACAATGTCGTCAACTGCCCGTCTATAATTAGACGGAACTTGCTGGCATGGCACCAAACTTCATTTAAAACATCATTTTACCCTCCCAAACTATCGCTCAAAAATCAATTAGACTGCTGAATATAAAAAATAATAATTTAAATTTAAATATTTAATAATAATTTTTCATCTAAAAAAGTGAAATAAATTTTAAATAAGAAAGGTTTGAGTATTGGTGATGTTGAATACTCTTTAGAGAGTAATTGCTAACTTTTGCGTTGAAGTGTCATTTAATCGATGATATGATCGAATAAGTACTAATCTCAATTTTGTAGGCGGAGATCTCGGCATATTCATTTTCATCCTTCAATATAGTTTCCCAAATGTGAGAAGAAGATGTTTCTCTCATAATAAGTGTGGTCAATCAATCCTATTGAAATTAATCTAGGGAATAAACTAGCTACGCATGTGTGCGCGCATGTACACACATAAACAGAGTAGCTAATGAATTTTGAGTTCAATTAGTTTCTCCAAGATCAGCACATGGTAATTTGAGACTAAAATAGACATTCTAAATGAGGCTTTTATATTTTTCAATTTTATTTTTTTTTTGTAATGTATACTATTTAAAATTTATTTTTCTCATTTTTTAGTATATAAAAATGTATCAATCAAATATTTAAACTTAATTTTTTTTATATTCGGGGTTCTAATTGATTTTCAAGGGATAGTTTGGGAGGTGAAATGAAATTCCAAATGATGTTTTGTGTCACGTTAGCAAATTTCGTCTAATTTTAAATGGCAGCCAACGACGGGGTAAAATTGATATAATTGAAACTAGAGGGGTTGAATTGATTTTTAAGTGATAATTTAGGGGGCAAAATGAAATTTTCTCTATTTGTAATGCTTTCCGTCGCCCATTTTTTTAAAAGATATATTTGGAAGAAGAATGATCCGGTGAATTGTTTTATCCATGGATGGATGAAAGTTGTAATGGAGAGACATCATTATATCTCCACAGTCCCTGGCTGTTGGACTAATTATATATACACCAGCACTATGTAAATTAAGGGTTAATTACACTTTTCACCTCTGTAGTTTGATCCACATTTCACTTTTGTCCCTATAGTTTTAGTTAGATCAATTTGATCCTCACATTTTAAGTCTAGTTTCAATTTTGTCTTCCCTTTAAATTTTTATTAATTTTCTGTGTATACCTTAGAAAATCGACGAGTATCTCAAAATTGTTAATTCTAACTTTCAATTTAGACGGAAGGACCAAATTAAAATTAAACTTAAAGTGGACAAGTGTCCTAAAACCATTAATTTTAACTTTCAAATTAGATGCAAAGACGAAATTGAAACTAGACTTAAAATGTAGGGGTCAAATTGTTCAAATTGAAACCATAAGGAGTGAAGTGAAATTTGAGTCAACCTACAGGGGTGAAAGTGTAATTAACCCATAAATTAATTATGCTTATTGGCTTCATGTTGACTGTTTTGATAATAGATGTGCTAATATCATTATTTTTGTTGTTGGTCATGGTGAAGGCAGTTGAGGTCACCAGTATAGTGAATTCATGGGCTGAAAAGGAGACCAATGGCCTTATCAAAGAAGTTCTTCCTTCTGGTTCAGTTGATGGTTCAACCAGGCTCGTCTTTGCAAATGCACTGTATTTTAAGGGAGCATGGAATGAAAAATTTGATGCATCAAAAACAAAAGATCATGATTTCTACCTCCTTAATGGGACCTCAGTTCAAGTGCCCTTCATGACCAGTAAGAAGAAGCAACTTGTTAGTGCATTTGACGGTTTCAAAGTCTTGGGGATTCCTTACAAACAAGGTGAAGATAAGCGCCGTTTTACTATGTACTTCTTTCTCCCAGATGCAAAAGATGGATTGCCTGCTTTAATGGAGAAAGTAAGTTCTGAATCTGGGTTCTTAGATCACCACCTCCCATACCAAGCAGTAGAAGTGGGCGACTTTCAGATCCCAAAATTCAAGATTTCTTTTGGGTTTGAAGCTTCAAAAGTTCTAAAGGGATTGGGGTTGGTCTTGCCTTTCTCTGGTCAAGGGCTTACAGAGATGGTGGACTCCCCTGTTGGTCATAACCTATATGTTTCAAGCATTTTTCACAAATCCTTCATTGAAGTTAATGAAGAAGGCACAGAAGCTGCAGCTGCTTCTGCAGGTGTGATAAAGCTGAGGGGTTTGATGTCAACGGATAAAATAGATTTTGTAGCTGACCATCCATTTCTGTTCGTCATTAGAGAAGACATGACCAGTGTGGTGCTTTTCATTGGCCATGTGCTTAATCCCCTTGCGGGTTGATTGAACCTGCTGCAGTGGTTGAAAAAAGTGTATGGAGATGAAGCCTAATGTACACGAGTCTAGTGACTTTTAAGTATCTGCTTGATGTTTGTATTTTGCTTATGTTAAAAACCCACCAGGTAGAGCAGGGTTGGCCAACATCTCTCTGGTCTTTCACTTTTTGGTCAGTGGTTGACAGTAAACCATATTTTTATCTGTTTGATGTATTGCGTTCTATCTTTTACCCGTAGTTATGGCAAACTCTTTTTATTTTATTTATTTTTTAAATGTGTTTCATCATTGATAATACATTCCTCTGTCATAATACCTGATGGATCTAGTATTAAAATCAACATAGAATGCATCTTGTACAGCCTCCTGATGGTTCCAATGTAGCAACCACCAATAAGTCAAAATCAAACACACCAGTATTAGAAACTTGTCTCCCTTGAAAGGGATGATGTTTTACTTTAGCTGAGACTGAAATTTTACAATTCATTTATGTGGGGATGCTTCATTTTGAGAAGATGAGAAACACCTACATGTACCCAAACTGCGTAAAATAAATAAATAAATAAAATTAAAGAGAGACAACTATTATTGCACAACACGAACCATCCAAACGCATGAATTAAGGGTTTTAAGCTTCTGTCAAGTTAAAGAGAGCACTGGACTATTTAGTTTGGCCTCATGGTTCAAAATCATCCTGTATTTTGTTAAGCAGAGTCATTCATTTCTTAAATTTGTGTGTAAATTATTAATGGAAAAAATCACATTGATCCGACTTAGTGTTACCAGAAAATACTACTAAACGGCTAGATTTGAAGGATCGTAATTTAAGTCCGGAGGCGCGGGCAGAGTAACGGCTTGACTTGAAGACTTGGGCTCGGGTTCGAATGCGAGCAAGGCTTTAGAGAAGTCAGGGGATAGCTTTTTCAGCTTGGCAATGGTCCAATTCTTGTCCAAAATTCCTTAAAACTAAGGGAAGGAGGCCGGTATTTATAGGCAAAAGCCCAGCCACATGATGCAACTAAATGCATTCTAGAAGCTACTTTGTGTTTTCTAAGTGGGCCAAAATTGATTGCCAAAAATAAAGAGAATACTATCTTTTACGAAATTTGGCGTGTTGAGAAGTCTGTTTTTGAAAACCGATGCCTCAATTTCTGAGTTTGAGTGGTTGAAAGATTTCTCTCGATTACTCAAATTCACAATTGAATGCTTTCCAGTTTAATTGGAATGAAGTCGAAGATAAGGGAAAAGCTTGCTAGGGTTTATGTATATCCCTGTTGCATTGGCAGCGTTCGATTAGTTTTTTTCCTTGTCCACTTCCGAAACAGAGGAAGTTCATAGGGCATTTCCAAAGGCTTGAAAAATGAAACGATCCTATCGAAACAGAAAAGGATACCCCTATAGACACTCCATTTTGACCGGCTTTAAGATTTGGGCACCCTTTTTTAAGCACCTGAAAAGATTTGGAACGTTTGTTACTTTCAATTTCTCCAGCAGAAAGCTCAACCTTTTTTCATCCATTTTGGACAAATCTTTTTAGACCTTTAAAGAACTTGTTTTAGAAATGATTTTTGTCGTGCACAAATCTGATCATTCCCATGATGTTCAAGCTCATCTTTTTAATCAAAATGTTGTGATTTCGCTTTAAACTGAGCAAAGACAAAGTAAGAATGAATAGATAGGAGGAGAATCCTCTCGAAAAACCTCATTTTCTCTAAAATTTGCTTAAGCCGTACAAAATTAGTCCAGCTGTACCAGTTTTATGCCTGGCCAGCCATACTCTGGTCGACCAGCCATAAAGGAGATGGTCGGACATATTTTGGTTGGCTGTACAAATTTATCGAGAAACAGAGCAGTTTCTGGGAGATGGTCCCCCCATGCATGTGAGGTTGCCACCTCCGCAATTTTTGCGTGAATTACGAACCAAGCAACCTTCAGTCTATAGATTCATCACTCTTTCACTTGTTGAAAAGGAAAAGAGGTTTACTAAGGCACAAAGACACTCTTCTTTGATCTCAAAGCCTTTTGGGACCTTCAAATTTTCTCTCTCTATACTTACACCTATAGATACACCATTGGAGCTTGAATTTTGAAGTTATTTTTTGCTAGGAATTCAAGGCTAAACATAGAAGATTGAGGGTGCTTGGAAGATGGTTTGCTAATCAAGGACCCTTTTTTCATTAGTTGAAGTGAGTTCTTCAACTTTCTTTACACTTTATTTTTCTATTTCTCTCTTGCCAATCACTCTGAAATTCTGAATTTAGTAATTTAATATGTGATTGGGCCTTGTGAACAATGGAGGAGATTAGCCACCCCTCCATAGGATTGATTGGATTAATTGAATTCTAGTTTTTCTTGCACTTTCTCTCTCATTTTCTGACCTCCCAAACACTTTATTTTCTGATTTTCTTTGGTAATTTAGATTAGATTTGGCCTTGTATAGAGAGTTCTAGTCCTACCCTATAGCTTGTTTTCATGATTCTCCTATTTTCCTTTATTTTCTTTCATTTTCCATCATTTCTCACCACTTTTCTCATCATCCAAACAAGTTTAATTCTCATAATTCAATCCATGTTCACATTCTAATGAGTATTTGGGTTGTTTTGTGATATTAATTGGGTGATCTATGAGTCTGCATTCATGGTTAGAGATTCGTGAAATCTATTTTCTTTACTGTCCTTTACTTTCCATCATTTTCTCTCTACTTTCTTGGAAGCCAAACATGGCTTTCACCTAGAAGTGATTTGTAATCTATTCTCTCCATCTATTCTTAACATGGATTTGGGTATTTATTTTTCCTTTTTCATGAGAGATGATATAGATTCATATTCACTTCTTTGTTGTGCTTCTTGTGTTGTTTTGTTTTATTTGATTTTCTTCTATGATCATCATGGATCTTCCATATTATTGATGACTATGGGAGATCATCATCTCATCTATTCTATGGTGAGAATGGTGAATTTAGTATGTTTTCATTTCTTATTTTTTATTACTTGATTTCTTCTACCTTTTCCTTGATTATCTTCATGATAAAGAGAAATAGATTTTGTTTTCTTCATCATTTGCTACTCTTTCTCTCATTATGTGGTGATTGAGAATGAGATTCTCTATCATGTTCATTATGAAGTGTCCATGGCATAGGTTGGTTCAATTCTCTCATTATTCATGGTGATTGGGGATGAATTCATCATGTCTAGCTTCTAATAACATTTTAAGAGGATTAGTGCTTCTCTCTTGCTTTTCTATGCTTGAGAATCACTTTGGCTTATTTTCTTTGTATTATTTTGCACCTTAGTTCCTCTTACTTGGTAGCTTTTCCATTTTTATTTTGATAGCTTTGTTAGCGTAGTTAAGTCATCCATGTTAGCTTTTATTTTGGTTAGTAGTTGCTTCCATTATCCTTGTTGAGTAGTCTCTTTTGTTTGTAGCTTTGATGTATATCTCCCTTATTTTTTCTTTTCTATACCTTTTATTTAGAACTTTCCTTATCTTGGCATCATGTTTTCTTTATTTCATCATTCTTCATGTTTTGCATCCATTTTTCATGCATAAGACTTGGCATATTTTATCTCTCATTTCTTTACTTCTTATGTGATTAAATGTGCTACCCCATATCTTGAGATGGTTCATATATCATATGATTGGTAGCCAAGTCTTTAGTTGTATTTGTGTGTGTGTGTGTGTGTGTGTGTGTGTGTGTTGCATTAGTTCATTTGAATCTAGGATCTTGCATATTTTTCTAACACTTTTGCTTAGCTTGGTGCGGATGATTACTAGGTGAGCTTCTTTCATCTTTGTATCCCGATTGTGTGTGTTTTTCTCACTATGTCTAGCATTCTTACCATGCAGCTACTTGCTTACTTAATATATCTCTTTGGATGCTGGTAGATGGAGGTTATTTTGCTTAAATTTGGATGATATTGATTTCCATGCTTGCAGACTCATCTTCTCTGAGTTGTACTTTTTCAAAATGCATGAAATTAAAACATTCCAAAGTAAGCGATTTAGTCTATACTTGTTTGATTCACATAGTAATTTTAGCATTAATAATTGGAAAATGAGCAAATATTGATAATGAATCTCACATCTAGAATTAGTAGAGGCCAATCTTTGATCGAGTGAGCGAAAGTGCTAAATTCATGACCTTCCTCCCTTATACCTAAGTTCCTGAGCCAAGACACTTTGGTTACGATGGACAGTAGCCTTTGGCACGAGTCATGAGTTTTCTAGTTTTTCCAAAAGATTAGGTGGTGACTCTAAGTCTGGAGATATAGTCAATTTTTGACATTTTTTGTGATTAGTGAATTTTTAATAGATTTACTAAATTTGGACTCTCATTATGTTTCACATTGCACTAGTGGAACCATACCGGGGGTTCTAACTGTTGAGCCTTCTCGAACCCCCCGTCCGGGAGATCCCACAACCCTAAAAAGGTCTTTAATGTTCTAGAGATGGTGGAAAAGTTTGTTTACTGAACCGATGTATCGATCTTTCCCTTTTGTCGATCAAAATATGGCTTTTGGGGCTCGAATTGCCTAATAGATATTTTACAAGCTAACATGTATGAGGATTGAGCGAGGAAAGACATTTTTTGAGGTTTTGGTTTGATTCGATTACTATGTATGGTTACTGCACCCTTTTTTAGTGCACTCTTTTTTACACATCAATTTTGACCCATTCATTTTGAAATTGAGTATCAATCATTGAATCATTGGATTCCATCATATTTACCGAGGGACATATTGTAGATACCCCATTTTGACCGCCTCCAAGACTTGGGCACTTCATTCTAAACGCTGGATGATAAAAGTTACACTGTGCAATCTTTTGAACTCTCAACAAAGAAATCTAGATTCTAGCTCTAATCCCAACCTTACACCCTATTTTGACCAAAATGCTTTAGACCTTAAAACCCATTTCTCCAAGCGTTTCTACGATGTTCTCAGGCTCGCATTCTAATTAAAATGTTTTACCCTTTTAGTAAACCGAGCAAGGACAAAGTGGATTTGATTGGAAGAAATGACACTTCTCTAAAAACCTTGTCCCTCCCTCCAACCTGCACTGGCCATACAACAATAGCCCAAAACGCAGCTTTTAGACCTGTCCGTGGGTTATTTAGCCCAGTCGTGGGTTTTGTGACTTGGTCGGGTTTCATTGGTGATAGGCGGTGTATCAGGCGGGGTTTCTCTAGCTGGCAATTTTTGAAGATATTTCCAACCAGAACACCTCAAATTCTATAAATAGACCTCTCCCTTCAAAATTTAGGGTTAGAAATAATCTTAAAAGGTTTTTGAGGT